GGAGCGAATGGCGCTCCGACGAAGGGCTAACGCTCGAAACGTCAGCTTTTGTAATCATTACGGTGGCTAATTTACCATTTCAACTTTGTTGATATATCCAAATTATTTCGGTACTCCCACCGACGCAGCCCCAAACAGTTTCTTTCGAAACTATCAGCCTTTATTCAGTGAAAAGATAAGCATGGTAGAACTGGGATATCATAAACTTAAGAAAAGCCAACAAGAAATTCTCCCGCATTGACTTCGTTTGAATTGAAAGTGAAGCAATCGACTGCAGATATCTTGTCACACTGCTACTTCCAAAGCTGCAATGTAAATATGTTGAATATGCACTTATTGTATGATACGGAGGTTTTGCTACACCGCAAGTCTCATTCTTACGTTATACTGTCCGAATGAATATGGTTTTGGTTGAAAACCCAAAATGCACATTCCGAGCAATAATTTCCGCCTTTCGCTATCATGTCTGATTCAAAGGATCCCGTCCTGTGTCGCATTTGATATCGCAAAATTACAAACCTCACTTACCTGCTGGAGGAGCAATTACGATAGCAGTCACAAAGTAATTGAGGATTACCTGGACCTTATGCATCACTAATGCATCGGATAGTTTTTTTAATACGACCTCGCTATCTAGCTTGCAGCTTGATTAAAACATGGATTTCTTAAGCTATTCCGAAATATGCGATGTGACCCCCTATCAACGGGTCGCAAGCTCAATTTCAGTAGTCACGCTTGTTTACGAAGTGCTTCAATCAATTTTGAAAAAATACTGTGAGTGTGCGATTACTGCATTTTTTTCTTCACCTTCTGATGAGGAGAGTTTTCAACTAATACTATCAATTTTTTTTAACCCAAATGGAATAATGATTGAGCAGGATAACCAAGCTTTGACAAAATAAGAATTTTGTAGCCAGTATTAGTGCTGCTGTGAACAGCAGCTGTATGAAGTTAGCCATTTTGATGACTTGTGAAATAGGCCTAGATGTACAATTAGTTTCAAAGGTAAAGTGCAATGGTAGCAACAAGAGCTTTAAGAAAAAGACATTTTTAAACATCAAAATGTCAAGGCTAATGACTCATTCTATATGAGTTTCAACAAAAGTCTCGGAAACATTCGAATATAGCAAAGGACCAGAAACTATATAATATAGCTTAAATAAATAACTGAATAAATAGATTTAGTATAATTTCAGAGCTGAACAAAGAGTTTCCAGTAATCTGATTGGTCGACGCTTATATGACGCTATATAAACCGCTCCGCGCGCTTTATATAAAGTGTTAAACTAAAATGTTAATAAATGTTACTAAAATGTTATGATTTTAGAAATTTCTCTGTTGTTCAGCTCTGAAATTATACTAAAACAATTATTCGCCTCATGTTCGGTGAATATTGTCGAATAATCCCCTCGACTTCGTCTCGAGGATTATTCGGCGATATTCACCTCGCCTTCGGCGAATAATTGTTAAATACAAATAAACAGTGGCAGTTTTTTAGATGAATTACTAAGTATCTATTAAGGCAATACTCGAGAGAAGGATTACAAGTCCTCGATATTATAGTCTCAGTTACCTCGCCGTTCAGTTTGTCGGACTCTAAGGAAAAGCTGGATCCACTGATGTCAGACTGATCAGTTCAGAGATGACAACAATGATAAGGATCTCCCTGGAATTCATCTTAAGTTCATATTATACTGAGCTTCTTGGAAAGTGTTTTTACTTTAGGTGGCCAGAGAACCGAGGCGAAGTCGTCTGCTTAGCAGCCTTCGTAGAGAGGACAATAAACATATGCTTTGTTTCATTAGTCAGGCGTAGTAGTTATTATACATGAGACCAGTACCTATCCGCTAGAACTTCACGAAAGTTGCGGCTAAAAGTAAGTGCAGCTACCCTTACGGGAAACGTAGTCGCCTGCCAAAACCATGTGCTAAATAACCTTACCTCTAATTTTGAATCAAACACCACAGAATTTCTATACCAAGGTCCCATTTCACATATTCGTCAGTTTGATGATAAACATACATTAACCACTTTTAAGCCAAGAAAAGCCTTTTACGGCAAACATGGGCGCCAGAAATATTTGATCACGTGACTTAAGTTGTCGCGCGACAAAAGTGCACGTGAGAACAACACGCACGCGAGCTTGCTGTAAAGTGTACAGAGAAATAGTTAATTTAG